GAGAGGGATAAATAATGAGACGACAAAATCATAATGCCAAAATACAAATCCATGGTATGCCCACACCTTGAATACTGCTTGTAGTATTGGTCACCCCATCTCAAAAAAAGTTAAAGGTTAGCTTAGAAAAGAGGTCATTGGGGCATACGATACAGGTCTAAATCAGGAATATTGTGGAGGAAGTGAATAAGGAAGTATTATTTACCCCTTCATGTAACAAGAACCAAGGGTCGCCTGGCTGAAATGATTAGGCACACGTTTAAAACATAAGGCAGTTCTATTTCATACAACCATCCTTTGCTAGGGATGGGCAATAATTTTTGCAGGAGGGCCACTTCACCAATTTTGGTAGTGGCCATGGGCCAGCTCCAGTCCCCGGAAGGGGCAGTACCTTGGCCAGAAGGGCTGATTCCCTCTAGGTTCTGCATGCCCCTGGTAGGGGGAGGAGACTTTGCGAGCTCTTCCCTCTTCCCCCTCCCAGGCCAATTGGGTTCTGGGGGTGGGGGAGCATGCTAAGTCTCTCACCATCCGTCCCTGCCCTGCCTGTAGGGAACCGTTGTGAACAGCTGGCAGTTCCCTCTAATTTAAAATTCCTTGAGCTTGATTACCTAGTTCAGTAGATTTCTTTAAAAGTATACAAAATGTTCAGTCTATGATTGTATGAAAAGGGAATCATATGGCCTAAAATTAATCTGTTAAATTTTAGCCTGGAAGATTAGTCTTAAATTGGGGCAAATACAGTTACTCTTAGGACAACATTTATGAAAATGCAGTCGATCCCTTCGACAATTTTTAAACATCCTTTAGACTAAAAGAGTTCTATGCTTGCTTAAGAATTCTACAGGCTATTTTCAAAATATATAAAAACCATCACATTTTATTAAATTTAAACCGAATTCATCCATATGTTGTCTCACTTTTCTGAGTGACTTTCTAAAGCTAAGTCTGAAGCATAATTGGTATTTCCCACACCATTTCAACACTTGACCACAGCTTCTATTTTCACACCAATTCCTCCAACTCACAAAGGTGACTGGCTCTATTTCTGGCCTACTTTCTGTGACTGGGATGGGGCAGAACAACCTGCTATTTTCAGTATGTTTCTTCAAACGTGTGTATAAAACATTTCCATCTGAAGGATCTCTATGGTGTGGGTATCTTTTAGGTAGATCATATTATATTACCAATCATTACTTTGAAGGGACCTTTACACCACCTCTTATGCTCTGATCATTTGATGGATGGATCGTCACAATAAATGTCTCGAGCAACAAAAAGAGATGTCTGAGCATGAATCTTCTAAGCATAACTAAGGAAGTTCCGATCACAAATGCAGCAGATCTTCTAAAAGTATCAGTTGTTTTTCAATGCTTATGAAAGGTATCAGATTGCCAACCCTGGAGAGGGATGTCCTCTGTACGTCTGATCTTGTGAGGCAGTGAGCATCTTCAATTCCTATTGGCCCTTACTAAGGGTATGTGTAGACTACATGCCTTTTTCGAAAGATACTTTCAAAAGATACTCTTTCGAAAAAGAGCATCAGACTACAACCAGTACTTTTGAAAAAGCAAGCTGTTTTTTCGAAAGAGAGCACGCAGGCAGTCTGGCTGCTCTCATTCGAAAAAAGCAGTTTGCATTATATAGTGCCTTTTTTTCGAAAGAGCACTTTCGAAAAAAGGTGTTATTCCTCATAAAAAGAGGTTTTCTGTGGTTGGAAAAACTGCCACGTTCTTTCAATATACTTTCGAAAAAACGTAGCAGCAGTCTAGATGCAGGGGAATCTTTTTCGAAAAAAGGCCACTTTAAAAAAAACAAAAAAAAAACCCCTGTGGTCTAGACACACTCAGTGTTGTGATGCTGCTCAAGTCGTTGAAGAGTTAAGCCCTGTAGCCACAGGAAAAGTATAGCACAGACAAGGCAGGAAAAATGTGCCTTATGTCTGGAGGAATCCCTGCTAGGGATGAAGGCCAGTTTCGTGGTTCATTCAATCCCTGGCCTCTGAGATTCCCAACAAAGATGCCAATGTATGCTAATGTCACGAAGGGTGAGGGGGCAGTATTTTGTGATGTGGGCATTTGAGCCTTGAGCCAGCGGAGTATTTTAAGATTTAAGCACTTTGGCTATGTCTGCACTGGCAGGTTATTGTGCAAGCGCACTGCCCTCTTGCGCAAGAGAGCTTACCCCTCTTAGAAAAGAGTGTAGCTCTTGCACATGAAGCCCCCTCTTATCACGCTGTACTGCAAATCTTCTTGCGCAAGAGCGGGTGGGCAGTGTGGACGCTCTGCAGAAGAATGGCCGTTCTTGCGCAATAACCCGTCAGTGTAGACATAGTCATAGAGTATATTTGCAAATCCGGCCCAAAGATGTCTATTGGGCTTTTCATGTGTTTAACCTGTTTGCAACTTAAGGCACTTAAATATCTGGCCCTTTGACTCTAATGGGAAGACTCGTACTAACCTATGCATTTAATTGTTTTGCTGGGTTTGGCCCTTATCCCTGAGGAATTAGGGTGAAGGGACTTGGAAAAAAGAAATGTGTACCTACAGCTCATTTATTGCATGAGTCGCTACACCATTACAATACAAACGCTCCACCTCTTAGAAGATTTTAATTCAGCAACACACATTTGCACACAGCTCTGCAATGGAATATACAGAAACAAATATGTATAAAATGACAACTTTTAATAAAAAAGTTAGTCAGCAGCAATGGACATACTTGTGTAGAATTTAATTGTCAAATAGTTTAGTTATCCCCACATAAGCATTGAAAGTTCATGGCTGTTTATAGTTTCAATCATTTTGTATAAATATGCACATGTTATTGATACTGGCATAGGAATAGGACAGTTCGGCTTCATTTAAAACAAAGATATACATACACATGTGTATAAAAGTGATTTTTCCCCCTCTCCTCTGTCTCCCCCCCCC